AAAAAAAAAAAAAAAAAGGAAAGGAAAGAAGGGAGGGAGGCAGGAAGGAAGGGAGGGAGGGAGAGAAGGGAAAGAGAGAAAGACCCAGGCTCTGGAAAGGCTGAGGTTCAAACCTCACGTCTGCCCTGAGTTAGCTGTGTGACTTTTGACAAGTGACTTCCCTGCTCTGTGCCCCAGTTTCCCCATCTAGAAAATGGGGGACAATAACAGTTGCTACATCAGAGGGTGGTAAAGATTAAATGAGTTAAATATTTGGTGGGTGTCTGAAATAGCTCCCTGAGGGCCTGAGACTATGCCCCAAGTCAAGGGGGAGACAATCCTCTGTCGGGGGAAGAGGAAACGAGGCTGCTGCCCCCCAGCTTTTCCCTCCTCCAGGTGGCAGCATTCTCCCCACCATGGGAGGGCTGCAGCTTCCAGCCCAACCTGCCTCCAGATTCCATGAGCAAGCCTAGGCCTGTCATCCGTATTGACCTTATTGGATATAAGAAAGCTTTCAGCCCCACCTATTCCTCTTCCTTCCATTTCCCAACTTCTTTGAACCCAGCCAGACTCCCTGGAGTCACCAGCAGCTCACATTCAGCCAGATGAATCTACGTAAGACTGTGAGTTAGGAATAATTGTTACTTCCATGTTACAAGCGTATCCACTCCGGAAGTGTTTGCTGAACATCTGTCTTGTTCCAGACACGGTGCTAGGGGCCGAGGAGGCGTGAAGGCGAAATCCCTGACCTCGAGGCACTTCCTTGCAAGTCAGGGGCAAGAGACAATAATTAAAACCAAAGTCAGAATCTCAGCACTTTGGGAGGCTAAGGTGGGAGGATCGCTTGAGCTCAGGAGTCTGAGACCAGCCTGGGCAACATAGGAAGACCTTGACTCTACAAATAGTAAAAAATTAGCCAGGCGTGGTGGTGGGTCCCTGTGGTCCTAGGTACTTGGGAGGCTGAAGCAGGAGGATTGCTTGAGCTGGGGAGGTAGAGGCTGCAGTGAGCCATGATCGCACCACTGCGTTCCAGCCTGGGCAATATAGCAAGACTCTGTCTCAACAAAACAAAACAAAAATCAGTACGTAACAAGTAGGGGAAAATAAGGCTGAGGAACAGGAAAAGAAGTTGCCAATGTATAGCTGGGAAACCATGTTGAGAAAGTGACATTAGAGCAAATACTTGAAGGAAACATGGCAGCAGGTAAAGGCCTGAAGGTAGGAAGTTGCCCATCGTGTTCAAAGAGTAGCAGGGAGAGCTGAGCATGGTGGCTCATGCCTGTAATCCCAGCACTTTCGGAGGTCAAGGTGGGTGGATCACTTGAGGTAAGGAGATCGAGACCAGCCTGGGCAACATGGTGAAAACCCGTCTCTACTAAAAGTACAAATATTAGGCGGGCATGGTGGCGAGCACCTGTAATCCCAGCTACTTGGGAGGCTGAAGCAGGAGAATCACTTGAATCCAGGAGGCGGAGGTTGCAGTGAGCTGAAATCATGCCACTGCACTCCAACCTGAGCAGCAGAGCAATACTCCATCTCAAAAAACAAACAAAAACTGAGGCCCAGAAAGGTTATATAACTTACCCAAGTCACACAATAGGCGGTGGAGCCTGGATTCAAACCCTGATTCTAGGCTCATAAGTCCCTCAATTAAAAGTACCTAACTGATACTGCTCATTTTTAGATTTCTAGCAACTTCTAAGCTTTTTTCCACTTCCCCTGCTGCCCCCTAGAACCTCCAGGTCTCCTGCCTCAACGATGAGCAGAACCAGCACCTCCAGGCCTCCCTCAGTCGCTTGCATCGGGTGGCCCAGGTAACCCCTCCTGCTGGGGTCTGGCTCCATTGCCCCTGCTGGACACCCAGGACCCTGACCGCCGTCTCTGTCACCCTCAGTATGCCCGGGCCCAGCACGTGCGGCTCCTGGTGGATGCGGAGTATACCTCACTGAACCCTGCGCTCTCGCTGCTGGTGGCTGCCCTGGCCGTGCGCTGGAACAGCCCAGGGGAAGGCGGGCCCTGGGTGTGGAACACCTACCAGGCCTGTCTAAAGGTGTGCAGTGTGTTCTGGGAGGTGCAGGCTGGGATCCGCACACCCTGACCTACCAGAACGTGCCCGCGTGCCCTACAGGACACATTCGAGCGGCTGGGGAGGGACGCAGAGGCTGCACACAGGGCCGGCCTGGCCTTCGGAGTGAAGCTGGTACGAGGTGCCTATCTGGACAAGGAGAGAGCGGTGGCCCAGCTTCATGGGATGAAGGACCCCACTCAGCCTGACTATGAGGCCACCAGTCAGAGGTAGGCCTGGGCCAGCTGGCCTCTGCAGGAAATAACACCTAATGGTCAGGTGCAGTGGCTCATACCTGTAATCCCAGTGCTTTGGGAGCCTGAGGCTAGAGATTCACTTGAGAACAGGAGTTGGAGACCAGCCTGGGCAACATAGGGAGACCTCATCTCTAAAAAATTTTAACAATAGCCGGGTGTGGTAGCACGTGCCTGTAGTTCAGCTACTTAGGAGGCTGAGGTGGGAGGATCACTTGAGGCCAGGAGTTCAAGGCTGCAGTGAGCCATGACTGCACCACCGCACTTCAGCCTGGGCAACAGCGTGAGACTCTGTCTCAAAACAAACACACACACACACAAACAAAAAACCAAAAAGAAATGCCTGCAGTGGCCTCTAAGCCCCACATGCTCTGGTCCCTGTCACTTCCCTAACTTTCTCCTCCTCTCCCTCACTCCACTGCAGCCACACTGGCCTCCTCCATGATACCCAGGGGCTTGGCACTTCCTGTTCCCACTGCCTGGGACATTCCCACTGCAGACAGCAGCATGGCCCCATCCCTCACCTCCTTATATCTTTACTTCTTGGTACCTTCTCTGGGGGCCACAGGGACTCACCCAGGTTACAGAGCAGGTGGCCTAGCCATGTTTGGAATCTAGGCTCATGTCCGAGATCTGCAGGGGCTCCAGGGCACGTTTGTGTACCATCGGCTTAACTGGTACCAAGCCAGGCACAGTGGTGTGTGCCTGTCATCCCAACTACTTGGGAGGCTAAGGTAGGAAGATTGCTTGAGCCCAATATGAGCAACATAGCAAGATCCCATCTGTAAAAACATTAAAAATAAAAAATTACGGCCAGGCATGGTAGCTCCGCTTGTAATCCCAGCACTTTGGGAGGCTGAGGCAGGCAGATCACTTGAGGTCAGGAGTTTTGAGACCAGCCTGGCCAACATGGTGAAACCCTGTCTCTACTAAAAATACAAAAATTAGCCAGGTGTGGTGGCTTGCACTGGTAATCCCAGCTACTTGGGAGGCTGAGGTAGGAGAATCACTTGAACCCAGGAGGCAAAGGTTGCCGTGAGCCAAGATTGCGCCACTGAACTCCAGCCTGGGTGACAGAGTGAGACTCTGTCTCAAAATAATAATAATAATAATTTGCACTATTATTTTAAAAATTGAAATATAATTCACATATCATAGAATTCACAATTTTAACATGTACAATTCAGCGGAGTTTAGTATATTCCCAAAATTGTGCAACCGTCACCACTCTTTGATTCCAGAATATTTTCATCACCCCAAAAAGTAACCTCATACCAGTGAGAAGTCAGTCGCTTTCTGTTCCCTCCTCCTCTCAGCCCCTGGAAACCACTAACCTACTTTTTGTCTCTGTGGATTTGCCTATTCTAGACATTTCATATAAATGGAATTACACAATATGTGACCTTGTATATTTGGCTTTTTTCGTTTGTTTTTTAACTTATTTTTGAGACAGAGTCGCACTCTGTCTCCCAGGCTGGAGTGCAGTGGTGCGATCTTGGCTCACTGCAGCCTTGACTCCCCAGGCCCAAGCCATCCTCCCACCTCAGTCTCCCAAGTAGCTAAGACCACCAGCGCACACCACCGTGTCCAACAATTTTTGTTTTAATTTTTGTAGACGTGGGGTCTCCCTATGTTGCCCAGGCTAGTCTTGAACTCCTAGGCTCAAGCAGCCCTCCTGCCTTGGCCTCCCCAAGTGCTGGGATTATAGGCGTGAGCCAGCATGTCCTGCCTCGACTGTGCATTTTAAAGGCAGAATAGCCTACCGATGAGGAGCCTGGGCTCTGGAGCATCAGACAGCCTGAGTTCAAATCCCAGCCTGGTCACCTCTAGCTGTGTGACCTGGGGACGAGAGATGGAACCCTTCTCAGTTTCAGAGTCTCCCCACTCTGTAAAAAGGGAATAGGAACATTGCCTTCCGGAGCTGATTTGAGAATTAGATGAGTGATTAGCTTTTTCCAAAGGAAACAGAATTCCGCACAAAGGGTTTTAACTAAAGGAAATTTGGTGAAGGGGCTGTTTATAGAAGTGTCGGGGGCCAGGCGCAGGGCCTCACACCTGTAATCCCAGCAGTTTGGGAGGCCAAGGTGGGAGGATCGCTTGAGCCCAGGAGTTGGAGGATTCAGTGAGGTGAGATCGCGCCACTGCACTCCAGCCTGGGCAACAGAGTGAGACCCAGTCTCTAAAAAAAAACAAAACGAAAAGGAAGTGTAGGCAAAGTCAGGGAAGTTATTAGGAAGCTATTTCTTTTTTT